GAGCTGTGTTTTGGAAAGTCCAATTACTACTCTTGTCCACCATAATCATCTCCACAGAAAGAAAAGTATAACTGGATCCTTGCAGTTCAAACCTCTGTTAAGGATCAACTGTGTTAATAAAAGAAAAGTAAAGGAATTGCTTTTATTGGTTAGGAAAAGCTCCTTTCCTTACTAAAGGAACTTTGGTGCACAGCAAGCTGCAGAGTTAACTCAAAGGTTCGGCTCTTCCAAAAGACGGGTAGTCTTCAGTCTTCTTCGGTTAAGATTAATAGCCTCAGAAACTCAACGGAGGGCCAGGTTTGAGTTGCAACAACTGACAGTTGGAATGAACTTAATTTTACAGCAGCCAAAAGGCCAATGTTGTTTTCTAACAGTTATACAAAGAACCTACAACTCCGGTGAAAAATCAATCCCACTACAGTATAGTAGATTCCAACTCTCAGCAATCCTATAGAATTGCTCAGAGGGTTTATGGGTACTTCACTCTTCTCCTACAGGACAACTGTGGTTCAAACCATCAACTTTTGAACATGCTTTAATTACTCCACTTCTACTTACAACTAGCTCAAGCTCATTGCCATTTACTCAGAACTGACTTACAGCTGAACCTCCACTGGTTGTTTCAGCAGTTGTAAATTGCACAGGAAGAGACTGCCCATCTTCCTGAGAGCTGCAAGTGGGTTCAAATCACCACAGGTGTCACCTTTGAGTTGACACTGGAACTCCCTACAGACTGCACCATCACTGTCCAGAGTGTTAATACAGGACAAAACTAAGAAAGTTTTCTTAACTGTGTAACAATGAATACATTTTTAGTATCTCCCTTAATACACAGCAACCACTGCTGTGGATTCAGCTCCAATTAATCACTACGCTCCATCTAGTTTCTGAGGCTGTAAATCTGACAGAGTGCCCATCATTCTCCAAGGAGGAGCTGATGTATTCAAACTGCTGACCTATTAGTTAGCACTTTGATGAGTCAGACATATGGATAGCTCCACTGCTATATAGCTATTTCTGAGCTAAGGAGCCGCACTGCTACCATGCAGGCATATGGTTCAAACCCACCAGAAAGAAAGATGAGCAATTTCCTACTGGGAGACTTAACTGCCTCTGCAAGTGTCAGCTTTGGTTCTGTTCAGATTTGAACTACTATATACCTTTAATGTTCTATAAATTTGTCGTCAAAACTGAACTGAGCCAACCTCTAACAGCAACAAATTAATCACAATTACCTTAATTTTCAGCTTTTTAATCTCATTACTGAGAAGGCATCCAACCTTTTCTTGCACTAACCAAATCCACAGTATTTGGCTGAATTTCTACTTATAGCTACCCACCTAGGAAGGATAGAACAGAAATTCCCCATAGGATTTTCAAAGCTATAAAAGCTTAAGAAAGCAGACTACCTGAACACCCATGTTTATCGTGGCTTTGTTCACAATAACAAAGAGTTGGAAACAACCTAAGTGCCCATCAACAAACGAATGGATAGAGAAGCTGTGAGATATTCACACAATGAAATACTACACTACATTGAAAAACAAGGAACTCATGAAATATTATTAAAAAATGGGTGAGGAGGACATTATGCTGAGTGAAATATATCTCAGTCATAAAAGGACAAATACTGCATAGTGCCACTGTTGTAAAACAAGGACTGACATTAGAGTTGGGGGGAGACTAAGAAAGATGGGGTAAATTATACGGCATTGAAACAGATGAGGGAGAAAACTGTTTAAAAAGGGATATGTGATTAGGTATTATTGTCATGACAGTAGTCCAGAACAAAGGCTGCGTAGTGGGGTGGACCTGGAGGGAGGGATTATAAAACAATGAAAGAATCTTTCTTTTACTTTTCAAAGAGAAGAGTGAACTGGGGGGGGAGGGGTGGGAAGGAAGAAAAGTGTATGAATGAATGGAAACCCAAAGTCTCTCTAAATTTTCATTAAAATTAATAAAAAGAAAGCAGACTACCACATCTTTCTTTCAAAGCGGCTAGTTGACTTAGCAGCCAAGCACATCTACCACTGCACCACTAGGAGTCATTTTCTTGAACTAAATTTAGGCTAAAGGGTAACTTAAAAAAGATACACTTGCAAGAAGCTGCACAGCAATCCCAGAGGTGTGCGGTTCAAATCCACCAGATGCTCTGCTGGAGGGACAATCTCCCCCTGTACCAGTCAGATCTAACTTGACGGTACACACACGTAAAAAAAAAATTTTTAAGAAAAAGATACACTCAGGAGCTAGAGGGGCTTATTGGTAGGGAACTGTGCTGCTAGCCCAAAAGTGTGTGGTTCGAATGCACCAGCCGCTCAGTGGCACAATGATGAGCAATCACCTCCCCTGTGATTTTACACCTTTTGAAACCCAGCTGGCTACAGGTCGGTTCAGACTCATGGTACACAACAACATAAATAGTCTGACCATCTGGGAATAACTAAGACCAAAATTTGTGTACCCTTCTGAATTAGTCAAACTAGCCTTTCTGAATTACTACAGATCTTCGCCTTCACTAAGATTTCAAAACTAAAATTACTTTATACTTGGACTAAGAACCAGTTCACTTTAGTTCAATTCACTGCTTACATTTTGTGTTTCTACCTCAAATATACTGAATCACAATCTACATTTTAACAAGCTCTCCAAAGGATGAAAAAAAGTTTAATTTCTCAGCAGAGGTCGAAACCGAATAGATTCCAAACCCCAGCTGACAATGTTTTAAAAAAGTGACGTAAAAAAAAGTTAGCATTTCATAAAGGTAAAAACGAGTTTAAGTGGATACAATTCTATCAATTTTATTTTTAAAGAGAGAGTAAAAGTTTGACTAAAAGCAGTAAAAACAGCCTCACAAGTTCGTACAAGTTCAAAGCACTAGCCGCATCTTTTATTTTGTATTACTAATCACGTCTATATTTAAAAGTAAACCCCACTGTAAGATTACACGTTCTTACACAGTGTCGAGATCGGGGTCATATACATGAAGAAACAATGAAGTCTAGAAAGAAGGGATACAAAGTTGTAAAAGGGGTTCTAAAACCGCCGACTTATATAGTCCTTGTATTCTCGGAACGTTCAGGAACTTAATAAAGGTTCTTGGATGTTATTTACACTCACCCCCAAATCGGGGCGGGGGGGGGGCATTTTCCTAACCCGATCTGGGAAACGCTAGGTTTCCCTAATAAAGAACTGACAGTCCCAGGCTGCTCCGCCTGAGGGGCTGGTAGTCTCTCCTCGCTGTGCAGTCCAGCGGTCCTCGGGGACTCACAAGTTGATTCAGATTCCCACACCTCCGATCTGCTAACTTACATAAGCATACAAGGAGAAACGCAGATTTTTTTTTTTTTTAAAAAGGCGTTCAATCTCCTGGTCCTCCTCCAATAAGCGGCACACCCCAAAAAGAGTGTCCCTGCGGGGGCTTCTCCCCCAAGAACCGCAGCTGGTATGCTGTGTGGGGGAGGGGACACGCTTTCAAACAGTCATCTCTTCCTCTTCGGGCCGCCAACGCCAACCGCACCAGTCTCCTCCGCCCGGCCCTGTCCCCTCCCTCGCCCCAGCCTGGGTCTGAGCCAAACCCCAAAGGAATGCAGCCCGGTCACATGCGCTGCGGCGGCGGTGGACGTGCCTCTCCCCCCGCGCCCCAAAGGAGACCCAGCGCCATCTTGCCCTGACGCAGTTAACAAGTGTCAAGGGAGAAATTGTGTCTCCTCGTCCGCGCCAGCACCCCAAAGTTTCGCAGAGGCCGAGCCAGGGCCCTCACCTCGCGCACAGACAGGAGAAAAGAGTCAGGGAAGAGCCTTGAGAGTCCCTTCGCCACTGCTTGGGTTCCATATCGGCCGCGGCAGCAACGATCACCAACGCCACTTCTCCCTCTCTGCCTTTGCAACCGCCTCCCCCGAACGCCCTGGCCCCACCCGCTGCTGCAGCATGAGGTCATCGTCAGCCAATCATGAGGTGCCCGACGAGACAAATCGGGCCCTGATTGGCTGCTCAGACCGCCTCTGCCTCTCCCCACTCGGCTTACCCAGCGCTCTGGGTCGCTGTGTGGCAAGGACAAGACGGAAACCGCCATTTCGGGGGAAAGACCCCGAAAAGAAGAACCGGAATCAAATGTCATTTGAGTGGGGAAACCCGTTTTATTTTTTTTTCGGCCTCCCCCTTTTTCTTCGAGACAACCCTAATTTAGTCACCGCCACATAAAGGAATCCCCGCTCCCCTCCCCGTACATTGTCCCGTTGGCGGGGAAATCCTTCCCCAGGGCCAAAAGAAGTAGGAGGCAGCAACGGCAACTGCACCGACAGCAACGGCAACTTTTTACCCCGATACACGGTGGCAGGGAGGCGGCGCTGAAGATGGCTGTATTTTCCCTGCTGTTTCTCCCCCCGACCTCTTCCGTTTCTTGCTCCTCCATCGAGACGGCGGTGCTCTCGCTAGCTCCGCTTTTATGTGGTGCCCGGAGCCTGCGCACTGGAGCCTCCTCGGCCCCTAGTGGGCGTCGAGTGACACCCCAACCGGGTTCACCCTGCACTTGAGGCCAGACTCGGGGAGGAGGGGAGATGGAGACTGAGGTGGTTTTCGGAGTGGGAGAAAGTGCATCGCTTTAGGAGGATGACGGGAAGCGCGGGTCAGTCTCTGGGCCTCCAGTCATTGCCCGGCCACCCAGTACTGGCAAAGCTACCCTAGATCCAAGCTTGAGGGTTACTCAGGGCAAAAGGGGTAAAGATCTCATCGGAACAAATAATGACAAGCCCCCAAACCTTCTGTCAGTTGTTGAACGCAAAAAAAAGACAGAGATCCTCTCCACCTCACACCCTCCAGTTTTCTATCTCGGAGCCTCGGGAGTGGCGACGGCGGGCGGCCGCCCACAAGCAAAATGGCGGCGGGCGGCTTCGTCCCCTCCCCCTCTGCCCCTGCGGAGCGGGGCGGGCGGGCCCCGTGCACTTGCCGCCGCCGCGGCCGCCGCCGCCGTCGCCGCCATTTTCCCAGAGCGAGAGGCAGTGACACTGAGCGGGCGCAGGGGGCCGAGCCGGAGACGGTGCCTTGAGTTGGGGAGCGGCTACAGAAGGGGCAGAGACACTCTGAGCAGCCTCGTCGTGGCCTCTGCGTGCCTGCCGACTGACGGGGCGCCCCCTCCCCTGCTCCTCCGTGGCTGGTGAAGAGGCTGCGCGCTGCTCTTTGGGGAGGGGGTGTGTGGAGCCGGGTCCCGAGTCCGCAGAGACTGCTGTCGGGGGGTCGCCTGACCGCGGAGGTGTGGACAGACTCCTCGGGGGGTCGCGCCAGTAACGGGGTCCGGGTGTCTGGTGTGTGACCATCCCAGGTTAGTGCCTGTCGCCGCCGCGGGAGTTCCGAGGGGCGTGCAGGGTCGGGGGCTTCAGTGGGATGATTTCTCCTGGTTATGCTGCTGGGAGGGAGCCGACGTGGACTCGCCGGTGGGTTACCCGGGGCAGGACGTCGCTGGTGGAACCCAAGTCGCCCTTCCTCTCGCCTGTCCTCAGAAAAGGGAGCATTATGGCGGGTTTTAGGGTTAGGGAAGGGGAAACTGGCAGTTAAACCCCCTTGAAAGTGGGAGTTAGGGAGGGGGCGCTCCTCCCCGGCGGCAGGTTAGGGCCGCGGGCGGAGCAGGGTGGCGGTGACGGGTGGGGGGTTCGCGCCCGGGGGGCTGCTGGACACCCGCTTAGGCCCCGGTGCCTGGTGCTCGCGCGGCTCGGCCCGCCGTGCGGGGCACCGTCCCGCGGTCGGGGCGGAGGACGCCGGCAGAACGCCCGGGCCGGGGTGGAGGGGTCCCCGGTCTTTGTCGTCCCCTCCCGGAGCGGCGAGGGCGTCCCCCCTCCCACCGTGGGGCTCGGCCCCTGCCCCGCGCGTCCTCGCCGACCGCCCCGGGCCCCGACACGGCCCATTTCAGCAGCAGCCCATCTTGACCCGGGGGTTGGCACCAACGCGGTGGCAGCAGACACGGCGGAGAAACAAACGGTTCACTGTGCGGCATGGGGGAGGGGAGAGAAAAAACACTCCGGGGCGCCCTGCCCCCACCGCCGCCCGGAGCCGTGTCGGGGGCTCCGCTCGCCGGGCCTGGACCGCCGGGCAGCCCACCTTCGGGGGCGGGGTGGGGGCGCCGCACTTGGCCCCGGGGACCCCGCGGGCCCTGGTTCCGCTGTCTGGAGAGGCGAATAATGGACGGGGCTTGGCGCTGGGGAGGTCTCGGAGGGAATTCCGCGCGCGACGTTGCGCTCCGGGCCGCAGACCTCAGGACCTGCTCGGCACGCATTCCCCGGGGCGCCTGTCATTGCTGCGAGCAGAGGAAAAACGGAAATTTCCCTCTTTTGTCCTTTACAGATTCTAAAAATGGCGGCCCGAGGCTGATGTTGTGGTAATCTAATCAGCTCGGGTCCTCCACACCCCATGCAGTGCGTTTGTCTGCAGCATATTACAGGCTTATTATGTTTACATGAAAAGACTGGGCCCTGGCCGAGCCTTCTTTGCTTTCCCCCCAAACTGTTCAGAAAAATGTGCTGATTTTACAGTTTATTACCACGCTGGCCTTTAGCTGATCTATTTTATTTTACTTCATAATTTCTATTATGTTTTGTTTCGGTTTTTTCTCCTGAGAGGTAAATGATATGACAGGACTTTTGGGGAGGGGAACCAAAACACTTAGGTTTCCTTAGGAATTTGATGGAGAGGATAGGTGCTCTGAAACGTTTGGATGAGTACAAATAATACTTTTTGCTACATTTAATAGAAGCATTCTTTATTTGATATGACAAAGTAACTGAAAATGTTTGGTAAAGTGTCTACGTATGGCCCATTTGATATCATTAGACATTTTTTACCTAGAATAAAACGTTTCCCTAACAGCTCTTGACCAATTTTGCGAATTTGGTTTTTGTAGTCTGCTTCAGATTAATCTTTGGGGATCTGTACAAACATGCTTAAACCTGTTACTTCATTGGGTAAAACTGCTGTTCTTCCAACTATTATATTTTGCACCTATTTTCCCAATGTATTCAGTTGATTCTGGATTCAAAAAGTGAAGCTCCTTCCTTTACTACCTTTTAAAATTGTTTCACAGAATATAACCATAATTACATAAGTAAAAAGGCAAAGCTTTAGTATTTTTATCCCATCCAGCCTCCATAGCCATTTGGCCACTGTGGGATTGTGGAATTTAGTCTGTTTTAGTAGACCTACATTATAAAGCCATGCCATCCATATAGCGCCGTGAGTCCATTTTATGCTCTTTTTCCATACGTTGTAGGCTAAGGCAGAAAAAGAAATGATTTCATTTCATTTTTAAAAATGTAAATAATTAGAATTAATTTCTGTGGTAGAAAGTACAGTCTTTTTCTGACTGAACTAAGAAAGCAGTGAGATATGGGTGGGTCATTAATGACATTGAATGACCATTCTAATTATGGAGAAACTAAGAAGTGAGTACCTTTTATTTTAGTACTTTAAAAAGCTTCAGCAGAAACACCTTTCGTTGTTTGCCTATTGCATTTTAAATATTTTAGAGCAGAATTTATTTACTATGGTGAGTATACTAGCTAGTTAAATGTTAAAATTCGGTTCTAAAAAGTAATTATTAAAATATTTGGCTTAGTTTTGTCAGGAAGATTCAGTCTGCACACATAACTTCACTTAGAAGCTTTAAAATATTTGATTAGAAAGTGAAGGTGGGTAGTGAGAGAAGAGTGTGTAAGGATTTGGGTCAGTACTTATTTTTAGGTTTCAAGTGAACATATAAACACAGATCCTTCACTGCTGTGTAAAGATTGTGCACTTATTTATAGGCTAGGTACTTAAGGTCTGTGGTACTTTAAACTTACTATCCAAGGTATAAAATCTGTATACTACAGTGGAAATAGACACACGAAGCAATTGACCTTATTTGGCTTTATACAAAAAATATCAAGTTGGAAATTACAATTAGTAAAGCTGCCTTCAACTTACTTTCTTCTCACTGCCTGTCTTCTTTTGGTTTTGTCCTTTGCTTTTTATTTGTTATGCTGGGGTTGCTGTAAAAGGAGACTGTCACTTTTAGTGTAGTACCTTATTTAAAATGGTTACTTTGTAGATAATATGACCTTATATATTTGTTTTGAATCAGTATATACTCCAATTGACTGTGTATGCTTTAAATTAAAGCTGTAGAGTCATATTTATGTAAAGGTTGGATAAATTTTTCTTCTCAGAGAATTTGGAAACATTTGATCCCTTGGGGGGAAACTAGTCAAATAGTCTTTGTTCTTAGGCTAGCTGAGTTGGAGGAAGTTAGGGAAGGATTAATTATTTATCTGTTTAAGTGGATTTCAGCAAATTTTGTTTCTAGAGACTACATTTTAATCAATTTCCCTTTATTGTCAGTGTAAATGAAGGGATCCCTTCAATTAAAGTTTAAATTTAGAAGCTTACATGTTGTTTTCCATTTCCTTTCTAAGCTATAAGACTCTAGCCAGAGAATATTTACCATATATTTTATTACAAACTGGAACTTTCTTTTTAAAGCTAAAAATGAGAGACAAAAAAAAAAATCAACTAATGAATTAGAGGAAATCCTTTCCTTAGTATATGCTTTAATTGTACTGTGGTGACCATAAGGATATTGTAACTTCTTAAATTGGCTTCTAATTTTAAAGATAAATGTACCTATTTTTGTGTATAATATTGAAAAGAAACCTATGGTTTTATTTTTAAAGATGTTTTGTGTAATTCTCAACACCTATCTCCTTTTTTCTGAGTTACTTCTTGCCATCCTTTTGGAACTGATATATACCTGACCCTCCAGTGGGTTTTCAGAGGCTACAAATTGCTTAGGAAGAGATTGTTCATCTTTCTCCTTTGGAGCAACTGGTGGATTTGAACAAGCTGTCTTTGAGTTTGGCAGTGCAACTATTTAGCCACTGGACAGCCATAAATTACTATTGGAACTTATATGTGTGTACCGCCATGTTGTGTTTAAAATGTATAAAATCAATAGAATTTTGAAAAACTATCAGACCGCTTAGAAAATATTAGTACACTGTTTATTGTTTTAAAATGATTTTCACAATGCTTAATAGTTTTTATCTCCAGTGAGTATCTTAGCAGATGGTAGCTATTCTGTTTTTTTTTTTTTCTTTTTTACATATAATACTTTCCTTTAAGAGCATACAGTTACATTTCAAATATTCAGGAAGGTGAAAGTGACAAGTTCTTTGTCGTGTATAAAAAGAAATCTTAAAATGCTTATATTTTGAGACTTAATTTTTTATGTAGAATTCTATTGTATTCTATGTAAATTTATTTTGGGGTGTGTTTGTGACTAATAAAGTAACAAGAGGAATATTATTTTAAATACTGCAATGTATGTATTAACTGAATTTTATGCCATGGGCTGTGGATCATATTTACTTTTGGTAATGGACAAATAGTAAGAGGAGTCTTATTCCCCCCCCCCCTTGAGTTACTTGTTTTATTTAAGATGAAAAAGCAGTGGTTTTGGTTCATATTGATTTACTGCATCAAATTTGTTGACAGTATTTATGATAACCTTGCTAGTCTGATTAAACAATGAGTATTTTTAATCATCATACAAATAAATTACTTTTTGTTATAATGAGCACCTGCTAACTAAGTGCTATACAAAAATCAAGTACTTGATTGTATCCCATTTGTATCTTTAAGAATGTGAGATATTTTTATTAGCCATTGAGAATTTTAAAAATTTAAAACAGACAAGGAAACAGTTGATCTTTTTTTTTATAGTACATATTTTCACTTAATATGAAATTAATGCCATTTTTCTTCCCTTGCGGACAGTTCATATATCATATTTTAAGAAATCTGTTTTTGTCTAATTTTTGGAAGAACCTGACATCATTACCTACCACAATAACATGATAAATTTTGGGTGGTTGAACATTTCAGTGCAACAGATTAACTACAGAATTAAAAAAAAAAAATATATATATAGGATTAAGATATCATCAAAACAGACATTATACCTTTTGTTATTGTGTGTACTGTCAAGTTGGAACTGACCCAGAGCTGACCCCCTGTTCAGAGGCAGTTAATTGCATGGGAGAAGATTGCCCATCCTTCTCCCATGGAGCTGTTGGATTTGAACTGCATGTCTTCAGGAGTGCAGCACAGCTTCTTACCACTAGGCCAAGAGAGCTCCCTTTATACGTTTTAGTGGGCAAATCATTCACCTACTTACCCATCCATATTATTAATAAATTTTTTTTATATCTGCATTTTAATACTGTCTCCAATGTGAAATCTGGATTTAATAAAGAACTTACCAAATACAAATCAACATGAAGAAAAATGGCTTGT